AAAAAAAAAAAAAAAAAAAAAAGAAAGAAAAAAGAAATAGGCAAGGGCACTGCTATGAGTCACTTGAAACAGCCCACTGACCCCAAATGTGAGTCCTTGGTGGACAGGGACTTTTATTTACCTGTGTGTCTCTGTAATACAAGCACACAGTTGGAGAGCATGTGGATGAGGTAAAATGAATGTTTAATTGAATGGAAAACTGTGGTCATAGCAAAATCCTAACTGTTTAGCTCTGTGTTAAACAAATGAGATTTGCCTTAAACTATGAATTATTAATTGATAAATTATAAAAGCTACCAGTGTGGAGCCTCTCTTCCAAATCTACCCTACTGCCTCCTCTCATCAAGTTCCTGTGTCATGGAAGCCTCTCTTTGTTCAAACTACTGTGTGGTTTCTGTCTCTTCACTGTACCCCAACTGATAAATTGGTAGTGTGAGCTTTGAACTCAAATAGTCATATGTCCATTGTTCACCTTAGAAAGGTGTGCAAAGTAGAGGATGGTAGAAATTCAGAGGCCTGGCACCTCAAGGTTTCAAGAGCTCCAGTGGTCTGGAGCTTGTTGGGCCGTCCCCTTCCAGATGAGGGAAAAGCTGCTGTACCTAAAACCACCCACCCTGAACAAGGAATAACACATAGGCCTTTTTTGGATTTTTGAGGCAATATATACCAAATTTGAATTTGCTACTTTCACACTCATATGGAATGACACGTAAGTTTACATATTTCAAGTGAACTGTCGAGCAAGAGTAGGCTTTACTGCAAGTTCTGTGATAACTAGCTGCTTTTTTTTCCCTCACTGAGTTTATTGGTACATTCTAGGTAGACAGTACAGTTACATTCATCACTGGGATCTTGTGCCTTTACATGACAGGACTTGGTTCTCATTTTTTCCCCTTATCCCCGCCCTCCCTTCACCCTTCCTCCCTCCCCCTTTACAAACACTTCATTTCCATTTCTTCATTTTCTCATATTTTTTTCTTTTCCCTTATTAGCTTTCCCCTACCCTTCCCACTTCCCCTACACCTTTAGCCCTTTTCTTCCTATTTCACATTGTCAATTATATCATTAGGATCTTATGTACCATTATAGTTATTTCACACCAGAGAAACTATTCAGTATTTACACATGTGTGACTTATTTATTTCACTTAGGAGTATATCCTCAATATGCATCCATTTTCCTATGAATGAATCTAATTTCTCATTCTTTATGGCTGAGTAATATTCCATTTTAAAGAAAAACCGCATCTTCTTTATCCAGTTTGCAACTGATGGGCAAATGGGCTATTTCCAAGTTTTAGCTATTATAAACTGTGCCGCTATAAACATAGGTGTGCATATATCTCTGTGCTATGATTCTTTTAATTCTTTACTAGCTGCTTTTTGAGAAAGAGTTTCTGGTTTACTACTAGGCCTTGGTAGAAAGTAAAACCTCATCATCAAATAAATGATCACATGGCCTGAGCTTCCCATCCGGAACTAGGTGCTGTCTAATGTAACCAGCCAGTAACACAGGGTAAACACAGCAGCACTCTATCATCAAATCAAAATAGCCTATAAGCAAACAACCATATACTGGTATAAAGACAGACACACAAACAACAGAATAGAACAGAGATCCCAGAAATAAAACTTGAATTACATGGCCAAATGATTTTGAACAAAGCCAAGACTACTTAGTGGGGAAAGAACAGTCTTTTTAACAGATGGTTCAGGAAAACTGTATATCCACATGCTAAAGAATGAAGGTGAACTGGGAATTTAGCTCAGTAGTTCCACCTCCTGCTTCACAAGCACAGGTCCCAACTTCGATCCCTGGTACAAAAAAAAAAAAAAAAAAAAAAAAAAAAATTCAAAATGGGTCCAAGACCTAAACATAACAGCTAAAACTATAAAATACTTAGAAGAAAACATAGGAAGGCTTAGGAGTGTGACTCAGTGGTAGAGCACTCACCAAGCGTGCACAAGGCCCTGGATGCAATCCCCAGTACCACAAAGGAAAACAAAAGAAAATACACAAAAACAATTGTTTAAAATCTTGAATTTGGCATTGAGTATGGTGACACATGTTTATAATCCCAACACTCTGGGAAGTTGAGGCAGGAGGATTCCAAGTCTAAGCTCAGCCTAGATATCTTCGTGAGACATCTTAAAATAAAAAGGATGGGCCAGGGATTTAGCTCAGCAGTTCTGCCACCTGCTTCACAAGCTCAAGATCCTGAGTTCAATCCCCAGTACCAAAGCTAAAATAAATACAGAAGATCCTAATAAGATTACTGACATTGAGAAATGGGAAGAAAGGAGCTAAAGGTGTAGGGAAGGTGCGATGGGTAGGGGAAGGGTAAAAAGGGAAAAGAAAAAAATGTGAGATAATGAAAAGATGGGAATAAAGTGGTTGTAGATGGGGAGGGGAGGAGGGGGTGAAGGGAGGGCAGGGACAAGGGGAAAAAATGAGAACCAAGAGAGGTACAAGCCCACCAATGAATATAACTGTACTGTATCCCTAAAATGTACCAATAAACTCAATTAAAGCTGGAAAAAAAACTAAAATAAAATAAAAATTAAAAATAAAAAAGGGCTGGGGATGTAGCTCAGTGCACACCACCTAATTTCAACCTTTAGTACTACAAAACAAAAACAAATAAAAAACCCAAGATTTTTAATTTGGCAAGATATGACAGTAAAAGCATAAGAAACAAAAGGAAAATTAAATAAAGTGGACTTAAAATTAAAATTTGGCACATCAAAAGACAAAAGGTAAATTAAAGGGCTGGGGATTTAGCTCAATGGTTCTACTGCCTCCCTTGCAAGCCTGAAGTCCCAAGTTCAATCCCCCGTACAAAAAAAAAACAAACCCCAAAAACAAAAGCAAAAAAAATTAGCTATAGAATGGGGAAAATGTTTGCAAATCATCTGACAAGGTTATGGCACCCAGACATGTAAAGAGCTCTTACAATTCAATGACAAAGGACAGCTGTCCAATACAGATCTTCAGTGTTAATATTGCTTGCAGTTTAAGCCCTGCCGTGGTCTTAGGAAAGTCAACTATTCAATATGGAGGCAGAAGTCAATAAGCTGAAACTGATGGGCCCAGGACTAGAGGCTAAGACTAAAGTTCCAGCTGTCTTGAATTTGAGGCAATTTCTTGGTAGACTTAACCCAAGTAGCTGAACTGGACCATTTAAAAGAAGGGTCTTGCTACATAGTCTAGACTGGCTTTGAACTCGCTATGTATCCTAGGGTGGCCTGGAACTTGCCACCCTCCTGCCTCAGCTTCCTGAATGCTATGATTATAGGTGTGTGTCACCATTCCAGAAGGCTGACTCTGATGTGGATTACATTTGGTACAGGCTGGAATATGAAATCAAAACTAATCATCCTGATTCAGTAGGCAAGAAAAATCCAGTTACACTCTGAAAGGAGCTGTGAACAATAAAGTCTCAATATCAAACTTTGCACATTTTAAACCAGCTGCTGTTAAGCGGAGAGAGACTAAGATCCATATTTATGCTACTTTGAATAAAACTATGAATAAAACTATGAATAAAAACTTTGAATAAAACTATGGCCATGATATGAGAACTACAAAAGCAAACAGATCTAAAGCTGTCACTGATGACTGAAGAAGAAAAAACAGTGGGAGAGCAATTAAAATCTCACATGCCACACTTAGGAAGAAATGGAATTGCAGGAGGGAACACTACTGAAGAAGAGGTCAATCCCTGAGGCATCTGTTAAGATGTCTTGCTAATAGTTCATGAGCAGAGGCGGGGAGCTGGTGAATGGGGAGGTTTGGTCTTGGTGACAGGACTGTGATGCCTTTCATGAGAAAGGATATAAGAAGGGCAGATAATATAATAAAATTCAGCCAACAGATGGAATGAAAATAAAGGGATTTAAGCATATACACACACAGTTTTATAATTTTAGGTCCCTTACACTAATTTCTTTCAGTGTTGTTGGGATAATGTGGATGTTCTGGCCTATCATAAAAGAACATTTCAGTCCGTCATTGCATAAATGAGCATGCATTAGAAATTAAAGTATAGGGAGGTAGTCTGGGCCCCAATCCACCGCGGGAAGGAGAGCCACGCCTTCTCCCGGCCCAGCAGCCATCGCTCCAGTGCCAGAAAGTGGTTTCTCCAGTCCTCAGCTTCAGCAGTAGATGGTGACCAGTAGCACATACAGGCCACCACCTCCCCTGGAATAGCTGTGCCCTTTCAAATGAGGTCTTTGCCTATTTCATCTCAGTCCCATGAGTATGATGGATACTCCAGTGTGTGATATTTCAAATTCTTTAAAGTACGCTTCATTTATCAGCCAAGCCCTCATTTCTCCAATTCCCTATTCTAAAAATTTTATATTAAATTTTGCTTGTTCAAATTACTGTGTGATTTCTAATTCATGACTATGCTTAGATAAGATTTGCTCGGTCTTATACATATTTAGACACCACATTGTTTCTCTAGAGTGAGAAACCAAAGGTAGAAATAAGGACTGAGATGTATAATGGATGTTGGGAAATGGGAAGAAAGTGTTCAAATGGGAAGGGGAACAAGGGAGGAGGCAGGGAGAGAGGAAGGGACAAGAAAAAAGTGAAAATAGAGGGAAAAAAGTGGAAGCAGAGCTTCTGAACACAGGAAGAGTGGGGGCTACAGGGGAGCAAAGGGACAAAATAAAATGTATTTTAAAAAATAAAAAATAAAAGACTTGCTCAGTCCTGAGCCTTCATTAGCTGGGGATGCCTAGGAACTATCTACCAATGGAGGGGCCACTCACCTCTTTAATTTCATTCAGAAGATCAAGAGCACAACTGAAGTCAGGAGGAGTGGCTGACAGCTGCTCTTTAAGATGGTCCCAAAAGTCATTGTGCACTGTCTCCTCCACTTTGCCTTCCGGACTGGAAGAGGGTTAAATAAACAAATTACTCTCCAAAACTGTTGTGAAGCCATCATCTCCTAAGCCCCAAGCAGTATTTGATGTGGAAAAAGATGATGATACTGATACGAAAATGCGAGGGACAATGTTCAAAGGGCATCAGTGAAACCTCTCAGAAGAATGTCTCGTGATTCTAGAGCATCCTTCCTTGGCAGCAGGAAGAACTCTGAATAATGAAAAGCTTCGAGACAGTTTTCGCATTGACTGGGCACCTAGTCTGCACGTACGACTTTACATACACAACACATATGGCATTTTATGGCACTATATAACCTGTTACCTCATATACATGTATGTTATTGAACTAAATGATCATTCATTTTCTTATACTCCTAAAATTTAGGAAAAAGATCTTCCTTAACACTTCAATGTCACAGATATTTCCCAGCGAGCTGGTTTAAAGTGAATTCACTATTTAGTCCCTCCATACCTATTCCTCTTGTGTTCTCAATCTCAGTAACATTACCATCTATCCAGTCATGGAAGCCAAAAAGATCTTTTTTGTTATTGTTTTCACCATTAGAAAGTACAATATGCAACGGCAATTCAATTTAAAAAAGAAAATCTTTTCAACAAAGATAGTATTGGAACAACTGGAGATCCACATACAAAAACTGAATAAAAACACTGACTTTATACCCATCAGAAAAATTAAACTCAAAATGGACATAGATCTACAAATAAAACATAAAACTATAAAACCCTAAAAGGATAACATATAAGAATATTTAAGTGACCTTGGGCTTGGTGATGACTTTTTAGAGATAACACCAAATGCAGCCAGGAAATGGAATGAAAAACTGGTAAAGTAGACCATTAAAATTAAAAATTTTGCCAGGCGTGGTGGCACACAGCTATAATCCCAGCACTTGAGAGGCTGAAGCAGAAGGATCACTGTGAGTTTGAGGCCAGCCTTGGCTACATAGTGAATTCAAGACTATCCTGAACTATATAATGAGACCCCAAAAATAAATTAAATTAAAATTTTCTGCTCTGTGAAAGACACTGTTAGAGAAGAAAAAGACCAACTGGGCATGGTGAACTTCTTGTAATCCCAGTTACCTGGGAGGCTGAGGCAGGAAAGTCACAAATTTGAGGCCACCCTGGGCAACTCAGTAAGAGCCTGTCTCTAAATTTAAAAAAAAAAAAAAAAAAAAAAAAGGCTGTTAATGTCTAGCAAGTAAAAGATTCTGAGTTCAATCCCTGATAATGGAAAAAAGAAAACAAAAGGACAAGCCATAGACCAGGACAATTTTTGACAAAGAATACAAAGATATAAAACATTCTTTTTTTGTGAGAGGTTTGTTTTGTTTTTTTGAGACAGGATCTCACTATGTAGTTGAGACTGACCTGGAACTCACTGTGTAGCCCAGGCTGGTCTCGAACTCACAGCGATCCTCCTGCCTCTGCCTCCCGAGTGCTGGAATTACAGGCATGCGCCACCATGCCCGGAATAAAATATTCTTAAAATTTAACAATAAGAAAGTGAACTTCCCAAATAAAACTGACCTGAAGAGCATAACAGATATCTCAACAAAAAGGATATAAAATTAGCCTACAAAAAAGATGTTAAACATTCTTAGAGCTATAGTTTATGTCTAGATGCTCTCCCAAAGCCTCATGCATTCAGAAGAAATGGGCACTGGGGTGTGGCCTGGAAGGGACATCTTCCTTCCAACCTTTCCCTTCCTTCTCTGCTTCTAGGTGGCTATGAGTGAGCAGCTCTTCCTCCACTCTTTCTTGACTTGGAGCCAGCAGACTACAGACTAAAAAATGTGAGCCAAAATTAAATATCTCTCCCTTTAAGTGGGTGTTGGGTAGTGTCCCACTGAGGAGAAAATAACTAAGATGATTAGGGGACTGCAAATTTTAAAATAACATCACTCCATACCTATTAGAATGGCCAAAATCAGAATACTGGTAACACCAAAAGCTGGCAAGGATGTTGAACTTCATTTACTTCATTCATTTAAATGAATTTAAATGAGCATGACATCATAACCAGAATTGCATCTGAGAAAAATCAAGTTTAGCATGGACCGGTAGGAACATGAAAAACAGATTAAAAATAGCCAAGATTGGAACAACAGGAACTTTCATTTATTGCTGGTGAGAATGCAAAATGGTACAGCCACTATGAAAAGTTAGCAGTTTCTTACAAAACTAAACATAGTTTTATCAGATCATCCAGCAATTACACTCTTTGGTATTTACCCAAATGATGTGAAGACTTTATGTCCACACAAAAATCTGTATATAAATATTTATATCAACTTCATTAACTTCTAAAACCTGGAAGCAACCAAAATGTCCTTGAATTGGCAAATGTATAAATAAATTCATATATCCATACAGGGGAATTTTAAATGTTTATCAGTAAGTGAAAGAAGCTAATCTGAAAAGGCTATCTACCGTATGGGTCCAACATTACCACATTCTGGAAAATTCAAATACGGAGATTATAAAAAGATCAGTGGCAGGCTGGGGATTTAGCTCAGTGGTTCCACTGCCTGCCTCACAAGCCTAAGGACCAGAGTTCCACCCCCAGTACCAAAAAAAAAAAGATCAGTGGCTATAAAGGGCATAGAAGGGTTGAGAGAGAGGAACGGATAGGTAGAACACACCTCATTTCCAGGACTATGAAATTATTCTCTATGACACAATAATAGGGGTATATGTCATTAGATATTTTTCAAAATCCATAGAATGTATAATACAAAAACCTACCCGGATGTAAACTATGGACTTAATAGCAATGTAAACTATGGGCTTAATACTTTCTTAAAAATTAATATAGACAATAATAAATTATGACAATAATAAATAATAATCTATTAATATTGGCTCATCAAATATGCTGGAGATTTAGCTCAGTGGTTCTGGCCTGCCTCACAAGCGCAAGGGCCCGAGTTCGATTCCTGATATCAAAAAAAAAAAAAAAAACCCTAAAAAAAAATATATTGGCTCATCAATTCTAACAAATGTGCCACACTAAGACGCACTTACCAGGAACAACTGCATGAGGGAGGAGAGGGGAATACAAGAACTTGGTACTTTCAAATCATTTTTCTACAAATCCACAGATGTTCTAAAAATAAAGCCTGTTCATTTTAAAAAGTAAAATAACAGGAATTAATGTTCCTGTAAATGTTTATTAAAATGAAGTCTCTAATTAGAGAATCATACTAAGAAGAAAATATGGAAATCTGAGGCTATATGTAGTCATTTCCAGATAGCTACTAGTTTCCTTGAATTAACCATTTTCCCTCAAAAAACAGTAGTGATAGGGCCAGGGATTTAGCTCAGTGGAGCCGCCACCTGCCTTGTAAGCACAAGGTCCTAAGTTCAATCCCCAGTACCAAAACAAACAAAACAAAACAAAAAAAGTAGTGATACATGTCCCTTATATAAAATTACAATACAATGATAAAACAAAAAGTCGAAGTTCCTCTCTGAACACACCAATCTCAACTGTTAGAGGTAACTGACTATAACCTAATAGTTTAGAGAGTACTAAAGTTGTTCTTAACTTCTTTCTTCTCTTGTTATCTATGCAACAGATTGCTATGTTCCACAAATCCTACTTCTTCAATGTCTCTGGACTCCCCCTTCTTCCATCATCTGTCAGCATTCACTGGTTCCCTTGCCTCCAGTCTTTTCTCTTTTTAATCTTTCTCCATGTAACTACCATACCAGTCCATGCTAAAACTGATGATTTTTCTAAAATGCAATTTTAAAGTCCTTTGGAGGCTCCCTCTCACCAGCAGGAAATGGCTTACACAAGGGTCAGTTGGAGCTCAGGAAATAGTGCCCAAAGTACCCCTTTGGACTTCAAATTGAGAGTGCCTAGGGAGCAGGAACTTCAGGGAAGGGCTTTCTCTGCACTTCCCACATTGAACTAAAGCCTGGATCTTTCAAAAGATCTTCTAACACTGTTAGTCCCAATCCCAAGGTCCTCATTAGCTGTGGGAGACATGCATAGCACAGGAAACCTAGACCTGACCCAACACTCAAGAGCCCAGACATCTTGGGCCCTTCATCTCCCCTAAAAATCATTTTGTCTTCTTCTAAATCTTCCTCTGCTTCCCTCTCCTCTATGAAGGTATCTAAGCATCAACCATCTGTTTCTCCTACTTGTATGTTTTGTGTGAGTCTCATGTTAAAAAGTTTGTATGTCTCTTCTGTTAATCATTCCATTGGCAGTTTATTTCAGCACTCAATTATCGTACCTTCAGAGGGAAAGCCTGACTTTTCCTATACTCTTGGCATAGTCATTAGGATAAAAAATCATGCTGCTCATGATCCAAGGACAAATGACAAAAAGCCAGCAAAGAAAAGAAAGAATTTTCACTGAAGTCAGTTCTTACAGAAATGCAAATTAAAACAGACACACAGAAATAAGTTCTAGAACAAAGTTTAAATGCTTTAAACAGAAGATCTTTCGAATTGCTGGGCCTCTGATTTAAACTTTCTCTCCTCTGAATAAAGCTATATTTCCTTAACAAATTCCTTGAGCTCAGGAAAGAAACATCTATAAAAATTAGTTTGAATTATTTGTTTTGAATTTGTATGATTCTTGGCTATTGGGGTTCCCATTCATTAGAGATCCTTTTCCCTTCTATAGACAGCACTTATTTTCCTGTTGGTCTTGCTTTGCTTTTCCATCTATGGGAGCACATGGGTTATGGGTGGATGTATGAAGGTGGCCAACCTAAAGGCTGGGAACTCTAGTAATATGGTGAATTGTGCCCCACTGTGGTAGGCATACCAGCTGCTGCATGATCTAAGAGCTTCTTTCTTTTTGCCTTTCTTCAGGAAGGGTCTGAGCCTTGAAAGAGCTGAATTTTTTACTCCCTCTTCTGAAGACCTTGGATAAAGCCATAAAAGATTCTGTTAGTTTGGATCCTGAGTAAAAATGAATCTGAATTGTATTTGTGCCTCTTGTCACTTGTAGACATACTTTGGTTTAGAACCCTGGCTTATATTCAGAGCATGATAGGAATTTTTTTTCTTCTTTTGAAAGATACGATGGAACTGCATACTCAGAAAGAAAGAAAGAAAGCGGTTTATTAAAGCATTAAAACATTTCTAAATCTGAACAGAGAAGCCTTTTGATTTCCACCTTAGCTGGAAATCTGCTCCCTGATATGAAAAAGCAACCTAAAGATAATCGAGTTGGATAGACGAGTCGGCCCATTATCATGCCAGGCTTCAATCCAATGCTTCAAAGCATAAATCCAACAATTTTTCCTTCCAGTCTGATTCTTTATAAAACCAGAAATATGATTCTAGAATGAACTTAAAGTCCATCCATTCTTCTCACCAATCACAGAATTGTCCCTGTTTGTTGCCTTCAAACGTTTACAGATACTGTAAAAATCAGGACATCACAAACAGAACTGCCTTTACTAAAAGCAAAAAAAAGGAAGGAAAGACTTTTTGAAAGAGGTCTGTAATCGTGTCAGCCTAATTAAAAGTTTATCTTCAAGCTATATTTTTTATGGCTTCTTTCTCTACAGGTTTCTGTCTCCCTTTCTCAGAAATTTCTCAGTTGAGTGAAACCTCTCTTTCTCAAACCTGCTAATCATATATGGTCCTCCTTGGAAAGCTGAAAATCTCCCTAGATTGGCGCTTTTTTTTTTTTTTTTTTTTTGGTACCAGGGATTGAACTCAGGACCTTGAGCTTGCCAGGCAGGTGGGGCGCACTGAGTTACATCCCTGGCCCCTCTTTGGCTTTGTTTTATTTTATTTTTGTACCAAGGATCGAACTCAGGACCTTGCCCTGTGAGACAGGCGGTGGAACCTCTGAGCTAAATCCCCAGCCCCCATCTTTGGTTTTTTAAGACAGGGTCTCACTATGTAGTTCAGACAAGCCTTGAACTACGTAGTCTAGGCTGGCCTCAAACTCACAGCGATCCCCGACTCAGCCCGATGTGAAATTGTCTTCTCTAAACGATAACGCAAGTTCAACATCTCAAATCTGAACATCTGAAAACCAAAATGCTTCAAAACTCAAAGTTTCTGAGTGCAAGGCTACTTCTTCCAAGTCTATCAGGTAAGAGAGAATCCACCCTAATTACTCCAACCATTATTGCTTTGTTTTCCTCACAGGTTAAATAGCATTTGATCCTTGATAGTGACACTAATAATTACAGATTACTAGTTCGTGTAAGCTGTAAAGACCTCTCAAATACTAATTATACTGTTAAATAAGAACACCAGGTCAGAAGCCCTTAGGGGCAAAAGCCAATGCCAGGATAAGCAAAATGAAGAAAGTAGAAAACCCTGTACCTGCTTGGAGGTAAAACCACCTCCTCCAGGTGGGAATTGTGGTTCAGCCCAGTCTTGTTGCTCAGCTTGGAAACTTCATTAACGGTATCTGTCAGAACTGTAACCAAAAAAATGAGTGGTGGACAAAGTGAACTCACAAAAATGTGGACTTCTATTTTATCAGGAGATTTGCTCAACCTAATAGGCCCTGAATATGTATCAGATTCACTCAACTACAGGAGTCCTCGAGGTTGTCTGAACTCTATGCCCCATAACAGGGCTGAAAACTCAAAAGAACACACAGGGCAAGACAAAGCTAATTTATAAAAAACAAAGTGGAACCAATTAATAACTAAAAAAGTAAAGACACAAAGTGCAAAGAAACAACTATGATTTTCCAAAAGTAAGCATTTATCTACTAAGAGCCTATTTTCCTCTTCCTGCCTCTGCAGCTACTCACAATGAAAATGAAATTTCCCCTACACATAATACATATGCGCCACTGAATAGTGCTGAAGTCTTCCGCAGCAGTAGGTCTCAGATTTTAGGATTTCACAAATAAACTTCCAAAAAGATTTTAAGCACGGCTGGGGATTTAGCTCAGTGATTCAGCTGCTTGTCTTCCGAGCAGAAGGACCCAAGTTCGGTACCAAAAAAAAAAAAAAGATTTTAAGCAAGTGACCACAACATGACTTTTTATTTAACCAAGTACAGAAAAGCAAAAAATTATACTCTACCACTAAAAACCATAATTTCATAAAAGAGCAGAAAAAAACATGTCAAAATAAAGAGCAGTCCTTTAAATTGAATTGGTTTGGCTTTGAGACTATTATTGGCAGCTAAGTTAAAAATTAATGTGTGGGCCAGGAGTGGTGGTGCACGCCTGTAATCCCAGCACTCAGGAGGCTGAGGCAGGAGGATCGCTGTGAGTTTGAGACCAGCCTGAGCTACATAGAGAGTTCCAGGTCAGTCTCACTACATAGTGAGACCCTGACTTAAACAAACAAAAAAAAAATTAATGTGTGTACAGTCAGAGAAGGGGTGGGCCCTCAAGGAAGTCAGCACAAAAAAAAGACATCAGAATTGTGTGGCTGAGGGCAAATCTGAAGAGCCAAGCCTCAGGATGGAGAAGCAACAGTCAAGCTTGCAAGAGAAGTAACAATTTGAGATTATACTGTAACTAGCACCACCTGGTCCACTGCCCCACAGGTGGGTAACCAGACCCATATTCCCTTCCTTTCCTTAAAATGCCTGGTTTTTTTCCACGTACCCTGGCTATGCAACTCACTTCCCTCCTGGATCAATATTAGTTAAGCAGCTATACTTGTAATCCTATAGGTTGATGGCAGTGCTGGGATTACAGGCCTCTGCCACCACATCCGACTTCTTCATAATTTCATTTCACTAAATATCACTAGAAATTTTGTCACAAATCAGCACCAGCATTTGGTAACCATTTTTCCAGTTTCTTAGTACACAGTTCTGGCATGGCTGACAGCATTCTCCATACTAGGTAACTATAGTGAATGATTACTTGGCACAGAAAATGAAGCTCCACACTATAATTTACATTTCTTACTCTCTTTGTGTGAAGTTTCATATTTTGTTCACAATTATTTGGCTTCAAAGTCTGAAGGGGTAAATAGAACTTAGATTGGTCATGAATTGACTGAGGCTGGGTGATGGATAAGGAGAGATTTATTATATTAGTTGCCCTACTTTAAATGTTTAAATTTTCTGCAGCAAGGTTTAACATATAAAAAGAAAAGATAAACTTATTGTAGAAAAAGGTTACATGGGACAGTTCCCTTTCTTAGAAAAGAACACAATATCAGGAGGATCACTGGGAGCTCAAGGCCAGCCTAAGCTAAATAACATGTTCAAAGCTAACCTGAATTACATAGTGAGATCCTGTCCACTCTCCCAACAAAGAACACAATAAAATACAGGTAAAATCATTACTGTAACTTTCATATATTAAGGGGGAGAAATAATCTATACGGAGAAATAAAGAGTAACATGGCAAAACACAAACAATGTGAACATTCACTGTATTACTTTTCAATAAATTTGAAATGTTTGAAATAAAAAGGGGGAAAGATGATTGTAGGCCTTTATAAAGAACCCACTAGGTCCTTGCTAACATTAAGGTGAAATGAACCTTAACATAAGGCATTCCCAAATGGCAAAACACAAATACATAAATTGTTGCACTGCTAGTTCATAGTGATAAATGAGAAAAAATCTTCCCTGGGGATTTAGCTCAGTAGTGCCACACCTACCTTGCAAGTGCAAGGTCCCAAGTTTAATCCGCAGTAACCCCTCAAAATTAAAAATTTTTTTAAATAACATCTTCAAGGGAGACTGAGCTACAGCAGCTTACTAAAGGCAAATTGAAAACACTTCGCAACTACAACAAATCAAAGTGCACAGCACGTCTTGAAAGACAATTCCATTACTCATTAGTAACCCAGCATTAAGCCACTCCAGAAGAGCTCTAAAATTCAGGAGAGGGCTCAAAGAATAATCAGACAAAATGCAACAAGAATAAATTTTTAAAATCTGGATCCCAAGAACAAAGAAATTTTGAAGCTAATACAGTAACTAGTCAACCTAACACAAAATTCCAACTTTTTAAAAGGAATTTGGCAATTCACTTTACTGGAAGTTATTTTTACCTATGCCTTAAATAGCCACTGTAAGAACAAATTATATTGACCCCCCAAAAATTCTTGTTTTTTGGCTTTCACAGCTCACCCAGCTCCTACCTGTTCAAGGGCTTCTAGGTGCCATTTTGTAGCCAGCAGCGACCCCATGTGGTCACAAGACAAAGGAATTTTAACTTTGGTGCCTCTGACTGAACTTTCCACAAATCAATCTCCGAAACTTTTAAAACTTGGGTTGTCACATGCGGACAGCTCTTCAGATGATAACTGGGTGGGTTTCCTCTTATAAAACAGAAGGGGCCTGAGTCCCAGTGAGGATGGACATTCCATGAAGTATGTCTCTAAGAGATCTCACGCCCCACAGCAAATGCCAAAGAACATCTACCACGACACAGACCAGAGGAGGCGCTCAACAGCCAAGTCCACAGCACTGAGAAAACAATTTCTGGTTGGGGTCATTCGGGCTTTTTGTTGCTGTTTTTTTGTACAGGGGATCAAACTCGAGTCCTTGCGCTTGTGAAGCAGGCAGCGGCACCACTGTGCTAAATTCCCAGCCCCATTTGGATTCTTTGAATCCAACTCCAGATATCTGCCATTTCCCACTTGCAAATTAAAAATACTATTCAAACCTGGCTTAAAAGTAACAGCCTCAAATCTTGTCAAGATTCAAGAGATCCCACGTGCAGTGGTTTTGGGACGGATTCCCAGCCCTTAGGGTCTAAATTGCTTAGGCTGGGCTAGAACTTGGCGATCCTCCTGCCTCAGCCTTCCAGAATGCTGGGATTACAGGAGTGCTCCCCCACGTTAGAGTGATATTATAGAGAGCTATGTTAGGTTAAAATGTAGGCAGTCAGATAGAGCTACGCACTTGAGAAAGAGGCCTCAAGATAAAGGTGAAATGAGGAGGCCTACATACTTCCCCAAAGCGCAAGATAACCGGTAACACCTGGCCTAATAAATCTAGCTAGACATCAGTGAGTGACCAAGACCCATCATTTCCTTATAAAAGTATTTGTTTTTTCCATGCACACTTGTTAAGTGACTTGTTTCCCTATTGGATATTACCTAAGCGATTATACTTGTAACCTTATTGGTTGATCATAGCTTTAATTCACTTTGTACACACATGGTTTTGCTCTATAAAAACTCCCCTGTAAAGTGGGGTCCCCAGCTACCCACTATGGACCCCTCTCCTGCCTCTCAGGAGCTACCCTCTCAATAAATATTTCCCACTCTTGACCTCTGCTGTTCCTAGAATTCATTCTTTGATTTTAGAGAACGAACCCAACGTAACACACATCTAACAGGCTGGGATTGTATTTCTCTTATATCATTTAGAGGTCCTAGTTCTTCTCCGATATCATTCCAGTGTCTGCCTGTTAAGTGAAGAATGGGCTGGGGACAAAGATTAGGACAGAGGAGAGGAAAGGCAGAACGCTTCCGGCTGCAGCAGGGGCACCCAAGGGATCCCGGGGACCCCGCTGGACCTACACGGGCGTCGGTCCCGGGAGCTGTTCTCGTCTTCCCCGGCCAGTCCTGCGCCTCCGGGGTCGCAGGAGCCGCTCTCTTCCACGCCAGCGTCCTGAGGGGCCACACCGTCTTCGACTTCCTGCATTTTGCTGTTGGTATCAGGGCTGGGGAGAAACAGGGGCATTGTTGGCCTCAGAGAGAGGGCCGTGAGGCCAGGGCAGCTGCCCTGGGGTAGGCTGGCGCGGGCCTCAGTTTCCTGGGGTAGGGCGGCCGCTGAAGAAACTGAGGGGGCGGCCGCCCGCTCACCTCCTCCCGGCATCCCCAGCGGCTCGGCTCGCGGCTCACTCG